CATCTTTATCATGAAGGGATGTTGAATTTTGCTGAATGCTTTTTTTGTCTATTGAGATAATCATATGGTTTTTTGTCCTTAATTTTGTTGATGTGGTGTATTAGTGCATTTGTGTTGCTGTAACAGAAATACCTGAATCTGGGTAATTTATAAAGAACAGAGGTTTATTTGGCTTATGATTCTGGGACAGCTGCATCTGGCATGGGCCTCAGGCTCCTTTTACTCTTGGCAGAAAGTGGCAGGCAGCTGGTGGGTACAAGCAGATCACATGGTGAGAGGAAGCAAGAGAGAGAGAGGAGGTGCCAGGGTCTTTTTAAACAACCAGATCTCGTGGGAACTAATAGAGCGAGAACTCAATCATTTATCCTCTTCTCCCCCCAGGGAGAGCATTAATCTATTCGTGAAGAATTCACCCCCACTACTCAATCAGCTTCCAACACTGCCACATTGGGGATCAAATTTTGATGTGAGTTTTGGAGGGGACAACACATCCAAACTCCATCATGTGGTGTATCACATTTATTGACTTGTGTATGTCAAATTATCCTTGCATCCCTGGGATGAATCCCACTTGATCATGGTTTATACATTTTTGATGTGTTGATATATTCTGATTGCTAATATTTTGTTAGGGATTTTTGCGTCTGTGTTCATCAGAGATATTGGCCTGTAGTTTTGAAACAACCTAATGCTACACCTCAAAGAACTAGGAATACGAGAACAATCCAATCCCTAAATTAGTGGACTAAAAGAATTAAAGCAAACTGAATAAAATAGAGACCCCAAAAACAATACAAAACATCATTGAAAAAAAGTTGGTTTTTTAAGAAGATAAGCAAAATAGACAATTAGCTAGGCTAACAGAGAGAGAGAGAGACCCACATAAAAAATGGAAATGTAAAAGGAGACATTACAAATGATTCTACAGAAATACAAAGAATCACTCAAGACTATTATAAACAACTGTATGCCAACAAATTTGAAAACCTGGAGGAAATGGATAAATTTCTGGACACATACAAATTACCAAGACTGAACAAAGGTGACATAGAAAACTGGAAGGAACACACCAAAACAAGCAATGAGATTGCAGCAGTAATCAGAAGTCTCCCAACAAAGAAAAGCCCAGGACTATATTGCTTTACTGTTGAATTCTCCCAAACCTGGTAAAGAGGATTTAATACCAATTCTCTTCAAACTATTCCAAAAAATTGAAACAGAGGCCAAAAAATTGAAAGAGAGGCCATTCTCCCAAACTCATTCTATGAGGCCAGCATCACCCAGATACCAAAATCAGACAAAGATACGACAACAAAAAAAAGAAAACTACATGCCATTTTCTTTTGGAGAGCCTCTTTCTATTTGTTACTTGGGTTGACAATCCTGTTCAGGGGTGTGACATTATCTTTATATATTGATTTTCATCCATGGTTCCTGGCTTGTGCTACTCTCTGGCCTTCTCCTGCCCTTCTTTCACCTACTTATTTGTCTCCCTGTGGTAAGACACAGAAACTAGAATCTGCTTTTCCAAGACAGGTTATAGAAACCAGCCCTGAAGCCAGCCATAAAGCACCCATCTTTCCTCCTTGGAACTGGCCATAAGGTAATTCTCTGGCCCACCTTGTCTGATTGTTGGTCATGGGACTCCCATTCCACCTGAGGTCCTCCCCTATGCCCAGAGTAAGTAATGCTGCACAGAGAGGTCAACAAGAACCTTAACAAACAGGTGGTGCTGGGTTTCCCCACCCAGCCTGTTAGTATTAGATCACACCCTTTTTGTCCAATCACATTTGTACATGATTGTCCATGCTTCAATATGCCTATCCAAGGAAGTCTCCATAAAAGACCTGAGAGCACAGGGCTTAGGGAGCTTCTGGATAGCTGAATACATGGAGGTTCCTGGAGGGTGGTGTACCAGGAGAGTGCATGGAAACTATGTGTCCCTTCCCCCATACCTGGCCCTATGCATCTCTTCATTTGTATCCTTTGTAATATCCTTTATAGTAAACCAGTAAATGCAAGTACATGTTTCCCTGTGTTCTGTGAGCCACTGAAGGAAACTAATTGAACCCAAGGAGGGGGTTTGGGGAACTCTGATTTATAGCTGGTTGGTCAGAATTTCCAGAGGCCTGGACTTGTGACTGGCATCTGAAGGATAAGGGGACCGTCTTGGGGACTGAACCCTCAAATTGTGGAATCTGGTGCTACCTCTAGGAATATAGTGTCAGAACTGAATTGAATTAGAGTACCTCCAGCTGGTGTCCACTGGAGAAATCCCCACACATTTGGTCATAGAAGTCAGAATTCGGTCTTTTGTGTTGATGACTGTTCTGTGAGAGGAGAGGAAAGACAGCGTGTGTTTTGCCCACTTACTCACCCTCCCTCAAGAGGAAACACATCATACAAGGCCCATGAACCAAGACTCAGCAGAGGGGGGCTCTTAGGAAACCCATCAGCAACTTTGATGTACCGCTCCGTGGTGATCCTTCCTATCACATCAGTTTAGCCATGGCTTGTGTGGTCCTAGAGTCTGAAGTACGGATCTATATTCTGTGTTAATTAACTCAGGCTGCCATAACAAAATGCCATACTGGTAGCTTCAACAAGAGAAACTTACTTTCTCACAGTTGTGGAGGCAGGGAAGTCCAAGATCAAGGGACCGGCCAATTCTGTTCCTGGTGAAGGCTCTCTTCCTGGCTTACAGTCAAGCACTTTCTCCCTGCAGAGGCAAGAGAAAGAGAGAAAGCAAGTTCTCTGGAGTCTCTTTCTATATGGGCAGTAATCCCATCGTGACGGCCCTACCCTCATGACCTCATGTAAACCTAATTACCTCCCAAAGGCCCCATCTCCAAACACCATCTCATTGTGAGTTAAAGTTCAACATATAAATTTTGGGGAGAGGACACAATTCAGTCCATAGCAGAACCCTTGTGTTCTAGTCACTATACAGACCCTTCACCATGCTAAATGCATGTGTTAGTACAAGGGGCATTTATGATGTGTTAAATTTTCCAGTATTGCAGCCTGTCTTATAGGGTTTCAATTGGTGACAAAGGTCTACTTGTAACAGACAGGAGAGGAATCTTGATAAACAGGAAAGTTTTCTTCTGAGATCTGCTGTTGATGCTTGAATGTTTTGAGTCCAAAGTTTCATTTTTTAAAACATCCCCTCATGGTTTCGGTTGAGAAGTCTGCTGTTAGTTTGATAAACCACACTGAGATACCACCTCACTCCAGTTAGACTGGCTATAATCAAAAAGACAGTGAATAACAAATGCTGGTGAGGGTGTGGAGAGAAGGGAACACTCCTACACTGTTAGTGGGACTGTAAATTAGTACAAACACTTTGAAAAACAATATGGAGGTTTCTCAAACAAGTACAGATAGATCTTCCATGTGATTCAGCAATCCCACTTCTGGGTATATACCCAGAGGAATGGAAATCATCATGTCAAAGGGAAACCTGCACTTGCATGTTCATCACAGTTCTGTTTACAGTAGCCAAGATATGGAACCAACCTAAATGTCCATTAGTAGATGATTGGATAAGGAAACTGTGGTATATATACACCATGGAATACTGCTCTACCATAAAAAAGAATGAAATACTCCCATTTGCAACAACATGGATGAACCTGGAGAAACTCAT